TCATTGTTTATAATTCATTACAAAATTGAATTATTTGTTCTATTTTATTTAATTTCTGTTTTAAGACTTTCCATTTATTGCTTATATATATTAACAACATTGTCAGCCATGGAGCATCACCCTCCCCGTTAGTAATGGAAAAGTTTGAATTTGTATCTCTCTCATTCTCTCAAATGAAATTATATATATATATAAACTAAGTGATTTTTTATAAAAATTGAAAACGGTTTTCATAAATTATTTGGACTTTTTTTTTAATATTTCTTTTTTCTTAACTATTAAAAAAAAAGGTTCATCACTAAACTATTTCCAAGAATAATACTGAAAATAGTTGGTCATCTACCTTCATACGTAGCGCTACATCTAATTGAACAATATTTTTTGTTTCAAATCCTAATAAGTCGTCTCTCGAAGAAACGAACATGCTATAAGAGATGTGCAGTAAATGGTCGTTGTCTCTTTAAGAGACGACGTATACCTTTTAGGATCAATACACCTTATTTGATGGGGTGACTAGACATTATCTTTGTATATGTTGATAGAATATAAATTACTTTTATATATATATATATAAAATTCAAATAGATGATTTGCTAGGATTAAAAAAAAGTAATAAAACGTGGCACCAACAAAGTACCACATCTAAAAATGACCTTCTGCTGATATCAAGAGAACTATTTTCCAAGCATTATCTTTTGAAATAGTTGGCGGATGAGCATATTCCTTGAAATAGTTTAAGGAATACCATATTAAAAAAAAGTCAAAATTATTTTAACAGTATATATCTTTTTTAATAAAGAAAACGTATCTTTTACTATAATTTTATGTTTAATTCTAAAAACAATAATGGCTCTATATGGATAACGTTTCCTTTCATTGTTTCTGTTTCCAATTTGTGAGAAACAKAAACAATAAACAAAAACAACATAATCAAGTTTTTTCCCTTGGTATTTTCATTTTTTTCTAAAATATATATAAAAATATTATTTTATCATTTTCAACGTATAAAAATATCAAAAAATAAATATGACATAAAGATGTTACTCTTTTCAATATAAAATTTTAGAGGGGAAAAAAACAAGAAACAATGTAATTTTTTTTATTAATTAAAACACATGAGACGAAATAGTGATATTACCGATAAAGAAGTGCTATTATTACTTAGTAACGAAAGAGTTATGCATATATTATATATATCTTAGGGTTTTTTTTAGTACAACAACATGTAAGAGCGAGAATTCGAACACACAACTTTTTAGTAGTTCATACATATCTTAATTAGGTGAGTTAGATTCAAGTGGATCGAGATTGATTATACAAAATATTTCATATGACAAGAGCATTTAAAGATAACATTAAGTCAAGGAAAGGCAGGGATGTGCTATTGGTCCCGACCCATTAAATTTTGTTTTTAAATCTTCATTCACCTAACTCTCAGAGTGGTCCAAATTATCTCAATTTGGCTAACTTCAACATATTTTAGTAATATCAGATAAGATACCTATGTTTTCATTTTCGAATCCTACTCTTATATTTATTGAATTTAAATGAAAATAAATTTTTTTTTTAGTTTGTACGTGGAGGTGGACATTCAAACCTCTGATCCTTTGATAGATGAAAAAAATACCTTAATCAATTGAGTTAAATTCAAGTTGTCAAATGAAATGACTTAACATCCAATGAGAAAAATGTCATACTAGATAATTAAGATTTTAAAATGTATGAGCTTAAGTAACTAATTAAATATTTGACATGTTATAAATAAATTGACAAAAAAAGCTTAATAATAGTAATGACTAGTTTGATAATATTTGTGTTTCTTTGTTTATTGTTTTTCACTCCTATCGTTAATAAGAAAAACAACATTGCGTTTCATAACTACTTTTTTTTTATTGAAAAAAGAAACATAAACGTATTTGGTAATTATTTATTATTTGTTGTTCTTAAAATTTTTCAATTAATAAAATAAAAGTCTTAGATGAAATTTAATTTTTTCATTCAAAATACAACTTTTTAATGTTATATTTACTTTTTAATACCTATTATGCATTTTATGTCTATAAATAAAAAGAAATAAAATAATATTTTTATTTATGCTTTCAAAAAATTGAAAATCGGGAATAACGAAAGAAAATTATACACAATTATGGAAATGTTTATAAAACATGACAAACAAGAAACATAAACAGTCATCAAACATTTTTGTTTTTAAATAATTAAAAACAAGAAACAAGAAACAAGAAACAAGAAACATAAACGTTATTAAATAGAACATAAGTTTTTGTGTACATTATTTATAAAAATTTAAAGTGCATCAAATTTCTTTCAATTTCCCGAATGATTTTTTAAATCATACCTAAAACGTATGTTTTTTTATTGTCTTTCCAATTTTTTAAACACATATATAAAATTATGTCATATTGAACCTAGATTAACTATTTATAACATGGACAATACTTAACTCCTTAATGGTTAATCAGGACTTATCTTGTCTGAACATTGAATGTTTAACAATTAAAAAAGAGAAAGGTAAAAATATATGTAACTTTTTTTAAAATAGTGAGCCATCAAATTTTGGACAAGATAGAGATAGGTAAAGTATTTTCTTTAAAACATAAAAGTTAGACAAGAAGCTTGTTGATTATTGATGTACTCAATAAATAAATATATAAACACACTCGAATTCAACAAATAAACTTGACAAAGAGTTAAACAAAAATCAATCAAAACTTCAAAAATTGGAATCTCGTAAAATTGTGTATTAAACAATTAAAAAAACATATATTTGGCCTAATATATCAAATCTATTTGACATAAAATTAAAAAGATAAAATTAAAAGGTTAAATATATAAACACATTTTAATTTTGTGTCTAATAGATAAAAAAAATTAAAAGTTAGATATTTTTTAAAGTTTTAGAAATTTATCAAAGATAATATTGAAAGTTTAATAACCTATTAAACTATTTACCATTTCAAAGTTTAAAAATATGTTAGACATGTGGGTGAAACTTTAAGCTTTTTTTAGGTTTGGTTTTTGTACCGTGAAAACATTTACTTTGGTCATTGTACCTCCAACTTTAGTTCAGTTTAATCCTCATACTTTCAAAATATTCGTTTTAGTTATTGTACTTTTAAACCTAACAATTTTGTTCAGTTAAGTTTTTTTCTTTTTTAATCTCGTTTTTCTATCACAATCTCAACACGAYAATACATTATATATATATTTTTTAAGTGTAACCATGACTTTATATAAAAGAGTTTATATTATAGGTAGAATTCGTGTTAAAATTTTGAAAATAGATATCAAAATTATCCTTTTTAAAAAGTATAAACACTAAAATAAATATTTTAAAAATACATAGACTAAAATTTAGAGTAAAAAACTAAAATAGCATTTTAAACTCCTCTTCTTTTTTTTTCTTTCTTCCTTTTGAGTAATTAAATGAAGAGGTGGAGAGAATTTATTGGTGAGACAATTAATTAACAACAAACACGGGCTCGAGTGGTTGACCACTGGCTCGGGTGGCAGTGAGGCTGCAGTGCCATATACGGCACGCTTGGCGCCACGGAAGTCTATCAAAACGGCCAAGCGTTGGCGCCAATGGAAGAAGGCCATTTCCTGTGCCCTAGCCCTACCAAATAAATGAGCCTTGTTCCTAGAACTCTTTCCTCTTCTTTTCCACTTTTTTTTTTCTTTTTTATATATATTCCAATTTGATTGCATGATTAGAGGTGATGTGACAATATATTCATCAAGATTGCTATCAAATATAATTACTCGTAGAAACACATTAGAGCATATGACAACGTATGAGTAATGTGCATCCTGAGATTCCCACAACACACTTTAATGATAGTTAAGTCAGTTCAAAATATCGAGTTTGAGAACATTTTTGTGATATAACGGGGAGGGTTTTTTTCTTTTTTTTTATGCAATGCTCATTTTTCAATTCTTTGTAGGATATTGCCATAACATCTTAGGCGAGATATGGTAATGTCACTGACTCACTGGCATGTAGGATAAGTTGACACACTTTAGGGTAATACGATGGGTCAGTTGCGTGGAACTATGGACAACGTGTTATAAGGTGCATACTTGTCATGTCATATGAAGGTTGGATGATGTTTGATATAATCTTCTTGGTCTTTGTGCTATTTAGTATGCTTTTAGTGTGTTGGAATGCGAGCAATGTAATGTGAAATGTGGACTATGTAACTTATCATCTCCCTTAGTTGTACTATGATCTACCTCACCTATCTTCGCTAGAGTACGTCTACCTAGTGGTCGTGGTCTTGCTTGGAATAACATGTTGGGTGACTTATGGTCTTTATCTCATATGTTAGCTTCTGATATCGCCTAGTCAAATTACAACTTATATTGTTTCACTTGGTTGGACTATGACCACCAAATGACTTATTGCCTCACCTCCGATCGTGACTCACCTTATTTCACTTGATAGAGTTACGACCTACATGGTAACTTCACACTCATTTGGCTGAGTTACGACTCAATTGGTCTCATTCGGTATTTAATTACAAAGCCTAATTCGATATGTCCACATAGATTGTTTTTAATTCTAAACATCTTGCTCGCAATATTAGTATTCATATTTTGATTAAATTTTATCTTATTCATTTCGGAGATAAATTAACCCAAACCCGTTAACTTACTTTTTTTTTTCAACGTTACATCTTCCACCAAAATTAAATTCATTTATAACTAAAGTACATATATTGTGTATAAATATATCATTGTTCCTATAATCAAAATATAAATTTATAATGAATACCTGTCTAACAAGTCAAATACCATCTAAATTTAAAAAAGTAAATTAATAAATATCAACAAATTGATTTCTTGAGATTTTTTGTTTTAATTTAATATTCGATTGAGCACGGAAAGTAATATTTATTTTATTTAATCTGTCAAGTTATATTCTTTTATTATTATTATTTTATCTTTATTTTTAATTTGGTTCTGTACGAGTAAACGGCGAATGGCACCAAAAATTTCAATTTGCAGTTAAAAAGGCGCATCCCTTTTTCTGCCTTTCAGAGCGTTTTTCTGAGATCAGCTCCGATCCTGCATTGATTCTGCAGCTCCATTTCTCGATTGGGCGGAGAGGTGAGTGCCGGAGCTTACCGGAAAATGGACGGAAATCCGGAATCGAAGGCGGCGTTGTTGGGAGAGGCGATGAAGCGCGGCGGTAGCGGGAGACGCGGCGGCCGACTGAGTCGGCGTTACTCGGTGAACTCGCTCCGGAGCGAGTTCATATCCAGATTGCCTGAAAAACTGAGGTCTCGTCTTCAGGACGTCGAGTCTCCATATGAAATTGATCTTTCGCGGTCGCCTGGCTTCTGCAGAGGTTCTTCTCTTTCTCTTCCTGTCTCTCCGTCTCTATGTTTATCGCTCTTTTTTCTGTTGAATTTCAGTTTGGTTGCTGAGAGAGTGAAGAAGCTATACGTGAAGAAATCTTGTTGTATTTTTCTGGTTCTCCGTTTTTTTTTTCGCTTTTCTTTAGTGTATGTGTAAGATGATGGCGAACGCGAAGCTCGACTCTGTTCGCTTTCCTCTGTTTATTAGAGAGAACTCTAATTGTTAAACTTAAAAATTTCATGATGGAAAATGCGCATTTCTTGCATTTTTGGTTAAGATTTCCTTGGTCGAAGTAATCACCATGTTCCATGTTCTAGTGGGAGGGAGAAAACAGATTATACTGACGTATTGCTTTGATATAGGGGAAAAGGACTACTATGAAAGGCAACTTGCTACCTTGAAATCCTTTGAGGAAGTTGATTCGTTGGGGACATCTGACTGCATTGATGAGGAAGACGGTGAAGAACAAGCTCAGCAAGAGAGAGCTATGAAGATCTCAAATTATGCAAATATAGTACTTCTTATATTGAAGGTCGTCTATGTTTCCATAAGTTTAGAAGATTTCATTATTCTAGATGAACAATTTCAATGCTGTAGGCTTGCAATAAGCACCACCAGTATAAAGCATTTATAAGGAAACGGAAATGAATTAGAAGGGAAATCGTTAGAAATTAATATGATCTCAATGCTGAACTGTTGATTGTGCCACAAATTTACTTAATTCATATAAAAGATTCTCTCATGAATGAGCTGCTTGAACCTTTAAGCAGATAAAATGCGAAGGTTGTTTCATGGTTTCTTAAAAGCTCTGTTCTAGTCCCTTATTCCAATACTTGAATTCACTCTCTAGTGACAGTTTGCAGATTTATGCTACAGTGCGGAGTGGATCCATAGCCATTGCTGCATCTACACTAGATTCTTTACTTGATCTCATGGCTGGTGGAATACTTTGGTTTACTCACTTGTACATGAAGCGAGTAAATATTTATATATACCCAATCGGAAAGCTGAGGGTGCAGCCAGTGGGCATTATTGTATTTGCTGCTGTCATGGCTACATTAGGTATCTCTTGTTATCTATTCATTTTGTTTTCTAGAATCTTTAATGGTTGAATCATCTTGGTTATAATTTTCATTTGCCTTTTATTGTTAGTTGAGTATGAGTACATGATTGGAGTTTTGGAGTAGCTAAACCATCTCAATTTATTGTTAAGGCTTTCAGATATTGTTTCAAGCTGTAGAACAATTAATTCAAGATAAACCGTCCGAAAGTCTGTCGCCAGAACAGTTCATCTGGTTGTGTGCGATTATGATCTCTGCCACAATAGTAAAACTTGCCCTATGGTTTTACTGCAGAAGCTCAAGAAATGATATTGTGTGCGCTTATGCAAAGGTTGTTAAACCTACAATTTAGGAAAATATTGGCTCTTTAATAATGAGGAGCAATCTTGTCCTCACCACTATTGAAAAATTGATAATTCATTAATTTTTACAAAAAGTCCATGTTTTTGCATTTCTCTCACTTAGGTGTCAAACGTTGAAGTGGTAAAGACAAGATTGTTCCTCACTCTTAAGGAGCCAAGTATTTTTCTTTTATTATGCAATTGTTTTAAAGAAAATAATTTTTCTATGCATATGACATAAATCCTTGCAATGATATTACCCAGGATCATTACTTCGATGTGGTAACAAATGTGGTTGGATTAGTTGCTGCTATTCTTGGTGATAAGATCTTTTGGTGGATAGATCCGGTTGGTGCTATTGCCTTGGCCATATATACAATTTTAAATTGGTCTGGAACTGTATGGGAAAATGCAGGTACGTTTTCTAACTCGCATCTACTTCCCTTTCTCCCAAATTGAAAAATTCTAAATAACAAGCAAATTGAAAGGATGTTGGAACATAAAATTGATGTATCTTTTAAAATTTGGCTGCCCCAAAATTTTCATTAATTGCAGCTGGTTGTGTTTTCAATTTCCGTCAAGTTTCTTAGTTGCTAATTAGTCTCTATAATTGTCCAAGGCACCAAAAGAATCCGTGAAATGTCTTTATTTGGAGAGGGAAAAGATTGCAGGTGGAGGAGCGCTAGTTGTTTATATGCTAATCATTCTTCTTTTTGGAAAATGCCATGATTTTTACTTTACCCTCGCATGATATAACAAAAAGAGTACAACGACTACTTTGGGGGAAGGAGTTCTATAATTATAGGTCTTGTACCCCATGTTTGAGATGAAACTGTTGTTCATCAAGTTGCAGAGTGGAAAGAAAAAATGGGAGAAGATCTGAAATAATTATATTCTTGTCATGTGCTTGAAGTTGAAATAATTGTATATTTGTAATACTTGCAGCTTCATTTTGTGCTTTTTGAATTGCACATCACGCCTGTCACTTCATATTACTTGTGTTCCTTCCAATTTTCGACTAATAGGAGGTAACTCCTGTTGTAGTTTCGCTCGTGGGAAAATCAGCCCCTCCTGAAGTTCTGCAAAAGTTGACATATCTTGTCATTAGGCATCCTGGGGTCAAGCGTGTTGACACGGTTCGTGCTTACACCTTCGGCGTTCTTTATTTTGTAGAGGTTAGTCACACCCTATAAACTTTCCACGAGTTACACGTCCATTTTTCATTTATCCTTTCCTTATGTTTTTAGGCTCTTACTCAATATTTTTGCCTCGAGTATAAGCTCTAGCTTTTAGCCTCAAAACTTATGCCTCTTTGAAGACGTAGTAAGACTTAAAGTCTTTACGCCTCGTAGTTTGATTAGAATAATATTATTAATTTGTCCTTCTTTTTTATATCCATGATAAAAAATATATATAAAGGTCTCTTTGTGTGTGGAATAATGTTAAGATAGGAGCTGCAACCATTCCATCTATTACTGTTTTTACCACCTAGACTTTGAAAACATTGAAGATTAAAATTTAAACTCAATCCTATTAACGATAATAGTAGTAATGTTAAAGATGTCTTTTAGTATTTTTATTTAAGTGGCAATTGACAAGTGATTTTTTTGTTTTTTTATATAATTTTATATAACTATTATGTTTAGCAATATTGATCCTACAAATTTGGAATTTATACACTTTTCTTAATTAAAAATTGAGGCTTATAGCTTCTACCATCTCAAGACTTATGCCTCGTCTCTTCAAGTGGAAAAGCCAACTTTAGCCTTTTAAAAAATATTTCTTATTCCATAGGAACCATTTTCATTCTCTGTTACCTTCATGGTTAATTGGATCCCTTGTCTGGATCATAACTCTAATGATTTCAAACTTTTCGTTCTATAACTACTTCGGTTGGAACCACTTTTTATTTGGTTGTCCTCTTAAAATATGTGTAGGATGTTGTTTGATGCATAATGTTAAAAACAATAAAATATATATATGTTATAATTTCTGAAATGTCCCATATTTTATATATCCTGGAAGAAAGGTTAAAACAAACCTCAAAAATGATAAAATACTAAGATGCTATAGATACAATTGATGCCTAGTTTTAAGATTTTAAATATCAATATCGACAGGAATGTCTAGATCTCAAATTTACGAAAATGTCATAGAAAATGGTGATGTTAGTAGATATTTCACGAAAAATGTATAAAAATCAATAAATTCACAATAATTATTTAAATTAATAAACAAACGTTTCACCCTACTGAATAAGTTTAAAATTCTTATTATTATGTCAATATTGATGGTATTGTTGTTTCTATATACATATATATATTTCATCAATCGTTTTTTTCAATATCACTCTTTACATTGACATGAAATGTCGATGAAAAATTTAATACCCTATACAGTTGAGTAGACTTGTGTAATTAAGAAGTATGGTTGTACCTGACAATCAATTAGGTGGACATTGAACTTCCGGAGGAGCTGCCCTTGAAAGAAGCACACGCCATTGGAGAGACGTTGCAGATAAAGATCGAAAAGCTTCCAGAAGTTGAGAGGGCGTTTGTTCATCTTGACTTTGAATGTGAGCATAAGCCAGAGCACTCTATCCTCAACAGGTTGCCAAACACTCAACCTTAATGCTTTTTAGTATCTGTTCTATTACCATCTCCACTCGTTTGTCCCTGTTAAAAATGTTTTTCCTTTCAAACAATGGTGCAGTAAGGAATCGAACCATCAATCTTTAGATGTCTTATCTATTGAGTTATTCGAATCGAGACTTTTAAAAATATAACCGACTTTTAATTTTTTACCTAAAAAGTACCTATTTTGACTCCAAAACACGATTATAATGTAATCTTTGAATTTTTATCAAATAAGCAAATAAATGAATCGTGCCATTTTATTGATGTTACTTTCATGCCATTGGTATTTCCAAATAAGCATTCGTTTTTTGGGAATTTTTAAAGGTGGGTTTGATATGAATTTTAAATTACTTGTATCACAGCCAAAATTGTTTCTTAAAATTTCAAATAATGCTGAAAACATTTTAAATGTTCTTTACGATGAAACATTTAATTCGTTTTTTTTTCTGTAAAGTATGCATTAATACAAAAATATTTGTTTTCTTAAAAAAAAAATACAAAAATATTTGACTTGAAAACATTAATCTTAAATTCAGCAACGAACGCTTTTATTTTAGTACAACAATTTGGGTTTATGGGAATTTGAACCTTTGACATTTGAGTTAAGGAATAAATGTTATGAGAAATTGGGGTTTCTAACCTCATTCTATAAAATCAATTTGGATTTTTTACCATTCTCTAAAAAAACGTAATTTGTGACCCCTTCCATTCTAATATTGAATCATTTTTCACTTTTTGTCTTGTAAAATTATCAAAATATCATTTTTTTTAAATTAAAATTCTTTACCATCTTGATTTCCTCCCACTCTCGTCTTAACCTCACAAATTCTTTTTAATTTGAATTTGATATGAAAAAAACATCACATTTTAATATAAGAATCAATTACTAATTGATAACCCACAACAAATCTACAAAAATCCTTAAGTAAATGGAATACAACAAATGTTGTGATACTAATAATAATTAAAAAAAATTGGAACTACGTGTATCCCGAGGGATAACAGTATCCCGGGATAGTGTTATGGTCTATGTTCTTTTTCTTTTTTTTTGTGCATTTGTCAATTAAATTTTCCATATTAAACGGTAAACTATTTAAATATTAGATAGATTTTTTCCATATTAAACCATTACTATTTTAAATAGATTTTTTCCATATTAAATTCATAATTAATAGAGGACCATAAATAAGAGATTTTAGAAATGATAAAAATCCAAATTGAATCAAGAAAATAGATAAAAATCCCATTTTTTACTATTGAACGCCCACCAAACAACAGTATTTCATTGTAGTTTCATATATATATAAATGTATGTATATTTGGAGATAATTGTAGTTTCAATTAAAGCAAATTTGAAGTTAAGTCTCGATGTTACAGTGAAAAAATGTTGGAGACAAATTCAAATAGTACTATGGTGTGGTAATCAAGTCTGGCCCTGGGTAGGCAACAATAAAATGAAAAAAAAACAACAAATAACGATTAAGTATAACAAGAAGTTTTCCAACAAGCATAAGATGAGTTGCAGTGTATTCAAGTCCTTTTATTGTAGATTGACATAACTTTGCTTATTTATATTTTGCTATTCAAATCGTACTAGGTCACTGTTGAATACAAAGATGTATAATCGAGGATTAGTATTACATATTGTGGTAATAATGGATATTGTTAAAGTACATAATATCGATAGATTTAGAAGAATGGTAATGTTTTTATTGAGCAAGTCAATACACTGATCCGAAAATATTGTCCAATCAAATTCAAGAATACTACTAAATAATTCTCAAATCTCGAGCCTAATCTAAGTAAAATAAGATATTTCATATTTATTTTTATTGATATTTTCCACGACATTCATATTGACATTTTCCATATATATGCTTTTTCCAGCAGGGCAAAACATTCCTACATTTAATAAAGTTTTTATGAAATTATATTGTTTAACTATTATCCATTTAATTTAGTATTTTTTCCATAATTTCATTATTTTGTGCTCGTCGACGTCTTTTTTTTAGCATTTTTTTATTAGTATGATAAACGAATATTCCTTCTAAATATTTGTTTTTTTCACATTTTAATTATCTTCTGCCCTTCATTTATATTTTTTCAAGTGAATCTTTTTTCTTCTTCAATAACATGATTATCATATACTCGTCCGAAGGTTATATAATATGTGTATTTTTTTATTGATATATACTCAACTATTAATGAATAAGTTAAGAGTTATATGATATATGCTTTTAGTTGTATGATATATAAGTATAATACACTCACCAAATATATTGTGTATATTATATACCACTTAGTGATATATACTAACATATTAAGTTATATAATATATACCTTTGAGTATATGCTGTATCTATATCCAAAATATACTTCATACCTTAACATATACGCATAAGATTTTAGGTCATAAAGCCCCAGTGACATGATATTATTATTTTTGTTAAACAAAATAAAATAAAATAAGGGGAAAACCCTAGACTTTTCCCTTTTCCTTTCTCTTTCTCCTCCAAGCCGTCGTCCACTCCCCACATTTTCGACAGTCGTACTAGAAAATCACGAACCCACATATAGATCCCATCGTTAGCCATCGTGGGACGTGAGTGTGGGCGTGAAGTCGTGTCTGCTATAAGGATGCGACGCAGTTGGGTGTCGCTATCGCTTGGGTGTTTCGACCGTCGTGTTGCCGATGCTTACTTTTGTCGGGGAGGGATCGAGGAAGGGGGCGACTGGTCTTAGTGAGAGAGAAAAAGAATTTAAGGTTTCTTAATTTGGGGATAAAAATCACGAGAGGTGACTTAAATTTTGGTTTTTTCCTTATTTGTAATTTGTTTATTTATTTATTAAAAATATATGAACATGGTAGCTTGATAATGTTCACATGGCCCGACTTCTATTTTGACAAATTTGTAAATTAATAAGATTTAAGTCATTTATGTAATTAAGTTATTAAAAGACTCAGTATATGTACCTATTCCATCCAACTAAGTGAAAGTACGGTTAACAAATTAAATTTCAATAAATTATTAAATTCATTATAAACTCATTTTTGAAAAACATGGAAAAAGAGTAAAATTGTATTTGAGGCGAGATTTTGATTCGAGCTCCAACATTAAATACTTTAACAAACGCCCATACACACTAATAGTATGAAGCTCGATACCTTTATACCTAATCACACCACAGATTCAGTTGAGATTAGTAAAAACTAAGATCCTAAAACGTAACTCACCTCTCAAGCTTCTTTTATTTGTTTACTGAGTGATTCACCTCGAATTTATTCGCGCTCTAATCTTACATCACACCCAAATAAAATGCACTCCACTCCTTTTTTTTCTTTTTCTTAAAAAAAAAGGAAAAAATCCACAGCCATAAGAACATTTCTTTTTTATTTTCAATCTCCAACAGTACGGAACAGTAGCAGAAAAAACCAGAAATGTCACATCTCTGAGACACGGGTCGGATCCAACTCGACCCGAATGTCAGCAATCCATGTCCACCCGACCCATCCCACACCGTTCATCTTCTTCGCCCCATGCTTGTTTATTTGACTATTCATTAAAAACAAAAATAATAATAAAAATTAAAAATTAAAAATTTCCCCCATCCAAAAAATTTCACGGTTCCCGCCCAACTTTGAAATCTTACCCCCTCCCTCTCCCCCGACACTATAAAACCCTCCCATTTCTCTCTCTGTCCCTCTCCTCCAATCTCGCTTCCTCTCTCCTCCCCTTTCCCGCCGTTCCTTCGCCCTCTCTCCCACAATGCCGTCGAAGCGCCGCTCCAAGTCCGCCGCCGCCGTCTCTGCGAAGCCGGAGCCGGAGCCGGCTGCTTCCCCCTTGAAGAAGCTCAAGACCGAGCCCTCTGGGGACGGCACTCCCATTTCCTCTTCCCCTAAGGTGCTTCCTCACACCAGGAAGCTCAAGGCGGAATTGGAGGGTGACGACGATCCTCCGGCGAGGTTCCTGGAGCCGCGTATTTCCGATTCTGAAGCCAGGGAGCGGTGGCCTCAACGGTACTTAGGGAAGGTAATTCTCAATCGCGGATCTTGGGTTAGATCGTTCTTTATATTGTTGTTTTGTGGAAATGGAGCTGCGCTGGATGGTTTTTTTGGTAATCTTAGTATAGATGTGTGTGATATTTGGAACCATGGGTTTATAGTGAGGTGAAGGACTTGAATCGAGTATTGGAAGTCTTGTATTGCTGGATGTTGCCGGCTATTCAAGAACCTGTTGGCCTTTAGTTGTCATCGTTAGGCTTTAACTGTGAAAATATGTGATGTTCTGCTTGCTCCACGCAACAGGGAAGAAAATTCATCTTGAAGACATAAGTTCAGTTCCTTGCCACCGAGCTTATGTTTTATACTTATGACGTGACATTTTTTAAAAAGTAAATTAGGGTTACATGTAAAATGAAAGAAAAGAAAGAAAATGTTTAAAACATGGAATTTTTGGTTCATTTCAATTGTTTGACTTTCTTGCTCGAAGCTCTCTCTCCTTCTCCTAGTACTTGTGGAGGAACATGAAAATGATACTAAAAACGAATGTGGGGATGTGGTTTTATTTTCATGTCTTTATGGTGTCATTTCTATAGTTTACTTTCATACTTTTGTGGACTCTCTGTTGTTGAAAGTCTCATTATACTTTAACCTTGTCTTATAGAATTGGTAAAAAGAGTGTTCATGCTATAATTATGAAAGGGTGAAGCATGATCACAGCAAGAGGGAGGAAAAAAAGAGGGAGTGGAGCACACTACCAAACGGTTATTCTTTGCCGAAGAAGGTCCTATTATTTTCTTTTGAGCCAAAGAGACCAAAAGGCTGGTCTAATGAAGTGGGCCCCAAAGAGTTTTCCTTTGTGCTTGGCCTTGTGAATGTGTATGATATCAAATTGTTAAGATCATTATGGGTGGAGAGGATAAGAATTAAGAAATTGGGAGCGTAAGAATTATAGAGGAAGATATGTTTCAGGGTTTTAGACTCCTTGCTCAGAGGACACCAATTGAGAGACAAACAACCATGAAAGCTGTTTCTATGATATGAGTAATTAGGCTTGAATGATTTTTCTGATGAGAAACCAAGCTTCCCAGAAAAATGAAAGAGAACAATTATCACACGGCATAAAAAAAGGCCCAACAAACCCAAGGAGCCAGCCAACTAGCTATACAGAAAGGGACTTCAATAAAAAATAGTGAGATGTAATTACATAAGCCCTTAGAAATTGACACCCATGAGGAAACGTTAAACCTAGCCTACGACTAAACCTTCTTTCAAGATCTCCCTAGAGTTCCAGTAGGTTGACTTGTTATAATAATTTTCCACTAGTTCAAGGGTTTTCTTGTATCTTTTCAATAAAGTTTTTTCTCATAAAGGTTTAAATTCCTACATTCTTATAAAATTAGAATTATAATTGTAAAAAATTAATTATCATGGAGAAGTTCTATTATTTTTTTAACTTTTATTTTTAAAAAATAACTTGTTGAATGTGCAGGATTAAGTCCAGTAGACACCATTTACATATCTAGCACATCTCTATATAGATAATTAATCTGCGTATATCATGATATGATATTGTTCTGTATTGATATATTTTTTACTTTACCCATCCTAACAGTGAAATTATTTTTTGAATTATATATTTAGAGTCTTTTTTTACCTTTAATTAATGTGGAATTATGTTCACATTCTTAATACTTTCTATCTACACTCGGTAAAACGACATTTCTATCTCTACCTTTTCTTTTTGCTTCTCACAATTTTAGTATTCTCCCCTATCATGTCAAAACTTCAATAAAATTTTCTTTCTATTTGTTTATTAATCGGGTTGGTTAATATATTTTCTTATGTCCATGTAATTTTTGATTGATTGGGATAATTGTTATTATTATTGTTTTTGTTGTTTGACACATATGCCAGTTAACAAGCTCTGAATCCTTTTTCCTATTGCACATTTGTTGGGTTCTATGATTCTTTTTATATTTAAAATCCTATCAATTTGTCTTTTTTCCCCTTCAACATGTTTTACCATGTTCACATACTCATGATTACTAGACTGACTTTTAATGTAATTGCCCTTTCCCAAGTGCATATATCGTTGGATTAAACAAATGGGCTTTTGCTCTATTTATTTGTATGAACTTTTCTATTTCATTTTATTTTCTATAGAAGATAAAATAAATTAATTAATGAATATACATGCTGATATTGAAATATTTGTTGTGCCATTGATCTCCAAGCTCACTATGCAAGTGCGGCTTAGGTTCGACCTTTTGTTGCCTTTTTGCACCAAAAATGTCTGTGCTGTCTTAATATTAATACATTTATGCATGAGAGCTTGTGGTTTGGTTCTGGCTTTACTTGTGTCTACTCTCATTTTCTTCTTTATCTCTTTGTTTAGAAGAAGAAGCAAGTAGTTGGGGTGAAGAATTCGAGGTAATGTCACTAATTTATGAATCTTCAAACACTTACAAATACATACATACATATAGCCATGTAAGGTTCATTTATATGGGTTCTTATCATTTTTTAAAAAAATATAAAATACTTGTTTATGGAGAAAAAAGAATATACCAAAACAACACAAAAGAAAAAAGAAAAGTCTAAGGCGAAAGAAACCATAAAACAAAAAGCAAGCAAAAAAAAAAAGGACTAGAAAAAGCCTCCATCTAAAAAGAATTAGTGATAGAGGATGATTACAAATCTTTGTAATTGAGACGTGAAGAGAGGAAATAAACCTAGTTGAGGTCTAACGTTCTTCCCAAGAGCTCTTCACATCTCTTAAGACCTTGCTATTTCTCTCAAGTCAAATATCTCACAGCTTGCTAGGAAACATGGTGTAATATGGTTTCCTCTTGTCATGAAATGGGGTGAAATGACACCTTATCATAGATTGACATGACTTCCCACGAGCCATTTGCTCTCCAAGAGCCTTAATTATAGCTCAATGAAAAAAGAATAATTGAGAAAAGATAAGTGAGAAGAATGGTGATGCATTATTTTTATAGAAGAGAGTGGTTTTATAATGTATACTCAATATGTTCTCTTGATTAATGGTTTGTTTTCTTCTCGTTGCATTTTTGTTTCTGTTATCTTATAGGGATGAGTCCGAGGATGTAATCCAAGCTCTGCATCATTACTCACAGGCTGAGGTTGACAATATTATTTACAATCTCTTTGATGATGCTCATGTGAAGGTGTGATTTACATTGTCAATTTTAATGGGGAATTTAAGTTTCTTCGGAATAGTATTTTTCCTTTTTGAGCTATTGACATGGATACTTATTATACTTGTACATGGAAAGTCTTGTTTAGGCTGAAGATGGGGAGGAAGATTATATATGCAGAATTGTGGAAATGTTTGAGGCTGTTGATGGGCAGCTATATTTCACTGCACAATGGTATTATAGGGCTAAAGATACTGTAAGATAAACAAGTTCCATTATGTTTTACACTTTTACTCAATTGTGTTTTCCATGAAAATAAATTGACATTTGATTTTTGTTTGATACATTTTAGGTCGTGAAAGATCATGCTCATCTCATCAATGACAAGCGTGTTTTCTTTTCAGAAGTTCGGGATGATAATCCATTGGATTGTCTTACTAGGAAGCTAAATATAGCTAGAATACCACTAACTGTATGATTTTTACATTCGTATATCTGTAATTGTTTTAGGGGTTTTTTTTTTGGTGATGTTAATTTTATTTTGATTTTCAGATGACTACGGATAAGAAGAAAAAACGTCTTCCAGCTTGCGATTTCCACTGTGACATGTTATATTTGCTACCATATTCTTCATTTGTTAAACTGCCTGCAAGTAATTTTTTTGTAAAAGTCAATTTCTGTGATTATGTTCTTCAATTGCAACTCAAGTCTAAGGAGTTTATAATTTTTGCATGTAACTTGTAGGTGATAAAAGGGTCGGCAGTGAGACATCATCGACAATTTCCTCTGAGGTTGATATCAATGGAGCATGTGAAGTGAATTCAGAAATTGGGGATGTTTCTCAAGCACAACGGTGTTGTAAGCCTGATGTTACACTACTAGATTTGTATTCAGGATGTGGTGCCATGTCAACTGGGTTATGTTTAGGGGCCAATTTGTCTGGTTTGAACCTAGTCACAGTATGTTGCCTTGAATCCTTTAAACTGCTGATCAAAAGAAATTTATTTTGTAGTTACTTTTTTCCCATATACATTTTTTGAACATCTGGTTACTCCTTCTGTGGAGCTTTTTGTAGAAATGGGCAGTTGATTTAAATCAATATGCTTGTGAAAGTCTAAAGTTCAATCACCCTGAGACGGAGGTACACTCTTATGATAGAATCCAACTAGATGTTCTACATAATATGCCTTGTGCTCTCTTAACATCTTCTACATTGCAGGTTAGAAATGAAATGGCAGAAGATTTTTTATCGTTGTTAAAAGAGTGGGAAGCACTTTGTAAATATTTTTCTTTGGTTAAAAGTAAAGAGCCTCAACAAAAGTACATAGATCTTTTCAATAATGATGAAGAGGAAGACGAAGAGGAGGAGAATGATGAAAAGGGTGAAGATGATGGAGAGGTGTTTGAAGTAGAAAGAGTACTTGCAATATGTTATGGTGACCCCAACGGAATTAAAAAACGTGGATTGTTTCTTAAGGTATTTGAATGCTTGAATCCTAATTCCTACTTAGCTAAAATAAATCAAATTGATGTGTATATGACTTTGAACTAATATATGATCATTTTCATCTTTACTATTTTTCATCATAGTTCAACAGCATGGTCGTTAGCTATATTCCTTGTTGTGTACTTCAATTTCCTGAATTTGCACCCATTGAAGATAGATGACCCATCAAATTGTGGGTTGTAATTATGGAAAGGGATGCATCTATGAAGCATAAATGCTTCATCATGCGCAACATGTCTGTGTCCAACATGTTGGACACGTTTTGGACACTTGAGCACAGTAGAGATGTCAAATACTAGTTGAATAAGTAGAATGAGTTTGACACTTGTTGGACATATGTTGAATACTCAATGAATATTTTGAGGGTGAAACATGTTTAGATGCATAAGTATTATAGAGTTTAAACTTCTACCATGGTGACCACCTACCAAGGATTTAATATTCGATGAGTTTCCTTGACAATCAAATGGAGTACGATTAAATGGTTGTTTGGTGAGATTAGTCGAGGTGCTTATAAGTTGACCCAAATACTAACTCATAGATGTCAAAGAAAAAAAAATATAGGCTTCAAATTTCCTTTTTGTTAAAATGTTAATCATTTAGAAAATTGATAGTTGGTCTGAATGCATTTTGAATATTTTAACATAAAATATTATATCATAAATGCTTAAGTACCATAAACAAAACAATTTTTTTTAGCCTGAGAATTATTGAAATATAATAAAATGATATAAGTTTGAAAAATTTATAGTATAGTAAACTTGCCTTTGGCCTTTGTCTTATATTTTTAGATATTAACATCGCACTGGATTGTGTTCGTGTTTGTGCTTCTTAGGAATTGATTTTTCATGTCAAGGAGTTAGGGTCTAAAGCTTTTCCTTTTGTTGGTCTTTTTGTTGGGTTCAGAGGTTTCAACCACAAAAAATTTTGAATAGTACATCCTCTTTTGGTGATGATAAACATTAATCATTCCAGTGACAAAAATGAAATTATATGGGGGGAATCAATCTCACATTGAGGGAAGCTACAAGAAGCACCTATAATTGGTCAAAAGAGAAGATAAACTATAGCTATGGAATTACAATGGGTTTTTACACCACAGGAGAGACAAAGGATATGTTGTCCAAAATAATATGAATATCAAAATAATTTTCTTTATCCTAGGAAATATGGTCGGACCATGTAGACCATAGGAAAAGCTCTAATATAGCACAAAATTGATATAGCTGAAGCAAAATTGGTAGTGGTGGGAGCAACACAAGAAGGGTGGGATGATTTTTTTTTTGGGTTGGTGAAAGAGGAGGGTCAGATTTGTTTTTATTGCTTTTCTATCTTAAGAAAGTCTGGGAAAAATCATTTCCTACTTATTGCTCAACGAAATAGGTTATGTACAATCCTACAAGATGTTGAAAATGTTAACCTAATAATGTCAAGAGAAATGGTCTGCAATGGAAAAGACCGTATGTATGGAAATTGGCATCCAGGCAGAATGTAAACTCTACTTGCAATAGAAATAGAGTACTTGCATGATGTGGAAATGAAAGCTCGCTTCTAATTAGTTGATACTCTAGTATATCATGGACTTTGACTTCTAAATTCCCTTCACCTCCAATTTTGAGCTCTCTGGCATCATGCACATCTCCAATTGTTTCTGGAGTTTTTATATTCTCATGTTCTTATTTAAATGCAGGTTCGCTGGAAGGGTTATGATGCTGATGAAGATACATGGGAGCCAATTGAGGGGCTGAGGTACATATTCTTATGAAGTTGTCTTGCTTGATATAGTTTTACGATCTACCTGTGTGCATGATCCAGCTTAATTGTTACTTTCTATTTAACAGCAACTGCAATGAAAAGTTGAAAGATTTTGTGACAAGTGGTTACAAATCGAAGAGGTTACCATTGCCTGTAAGTTTAATTATTTTACTGTAAACCTGCATTAGCTGTTTTTCCAATATTATTCTTAGTAGAACTTTTGTGTTGGTAGGGTGATGTTGATGTAATCTGTGGAGGGCCTCCCTGCCAAGGCATTAGTGGTTTCAACCGCTTCAGGAACAAAGATAATCCACTTGAAGATGAGAAAAACAAACAGCTCCTTGTCTTCATGGACTTAGTGGAGTATCTCAGGCCTAAATATGTTTTGATGGAGAATGTAGTTGATATAGTAAAGTTTGCCAATGGATTTTTGGGACGCTATGCTCTTGGTCGTTTAATATCAATGAATTATCAAGTTCGCATGGGAATGATGGCAGCGGGTGCATATGGACTTCCACAATTTCGCATGCGTATGTTTATGTGGGGCGCTCAGCCAACAGAGGTTGATTCATAAGTACTTTGATTTTGCTATTCAAGACCTTGGGACTTGTAATAACGTTCGTTACCCAATTTTTTCAGAAGCTTCCGCAGTATCCTCTCCCAAGTCATGATGTTGTAGTGAGGGGTGTAATTCCTACTGAATTTGAGGTATGAAATTCTTATTGAGGCAATATGGTTTAGTTGTTATTTTATCTAACGAGAATATATGGCTACAATGCAGATGAATGTTGTTGCTTATGATGAAGGACATGATCGCATCCAGTTGGAAAAGAAGCTTCTTCTAGAAGATGCAATTTCTGATCTTCCTGCTGTATGTTATGCATATCTTAACAGATTGGTTTTCAGTTCTTTATTTTGTCCTTATATTCATTTTTTCCTCCACTGTGCAGATCGAAAATAATGAACATAGAGATGAAATGTCTTATGATAAACCTCCCCAGACAGAGTTTCAGCGTTTGATTAGATCGCCTAGGGAAGGTCAGCTACTTATTTCTCTCCCAATTATCTGTTGATATGATATGTTTTAGATTTGTCGAATGGAAAGAAAAGTATAATGTCCTTGTGTAATATTTGCTTCCTGATTAGAATTTCTAACTTCAGTTGGTGAAACCCTTAAGATTTTCAAGCTGTCAGTTCTCACTTGATGGGACATTCTTAAAAAGAAAATAACTCTTGACGGGCACCCTATTGTTTGTAAATCTAGAACTTTCGGATTAGGGCTTTTTTGATTATGTTTTTATTTTTTTAAAAAGAAAAACCAGCTTTCATTCATACAAAGGAAAGTCCAAAAAGCAACTCACATAGAAGAGAGCCAACCAAAAGCAAGGAACACAACAAAGCAAATTATAGGTATGAACCACTACTTTAGGTGATAAATAATAATTGATAATTGCAATAAAATTATAGGTCCAAGGAGAGGTGTTAGAATGTGCCACCCCTCACAAACCCTTTCCAAAAGAAAAAAGACAAATTTAGGCTACGAACACAAGTAGAGGCTCCCCACAAAATTTCTAAGGTGTTGATCCTCCCTAAGATTAGGGGCTTGGAAAAGAATTTAATCTTTGAAATTTTTTGCTTCCACAATTTAGAGAGAAAAAACCGTGTTTAAAGTGGATTGAGATTTCTTGTTGGGACTTTAGGGCTTTTAAAAGAATCAAGTAATACTTTTTTTTATTATTATTATTATTTAAAAAAAAAGTAATACTTTTATTATTATTTATATTTATTTTTTTGTAGTATTAGTAGAGGCCAAGTTCTCTTGATCTCAGTCTCCAAACTTTATCTGTTAATAAAGTCTTCCAAATTTTGGGTGGAGTTCCTTATCTAGAGAGTTTTGTAATAATTCTCATCTTTTATTAATGTTAGTTAGAGTGATTTGTGATGGATTGTTTTTTTTCCTTCTTAAATGTAATTTTCTCTTAGTTTCGGTGGGTGAGGGGAATCCTCAAGTTTTCCTTTGTAAAAACTTTCTAGTGATTTTTTTTCCTTTTTTGTTTTTTTTGTTTTATCTAAAGTAAAAAAGAGATAGTGAATGGTTTCCTTGTTTGTGATCTTTAATTGTATGTTTTGCTTCTAATTTCTTTGTTTTAATTTTCTCCTGCCAATTTTAATATCTTTTGTTGATTGTTTTTTCACAGAAAGGTCCGATTATTATTCAAAATCTAAGCCAAGATTCCATGATGTACTATATGATCATCGGCCACTTGAATTAAATACAGATGACTATCAACGTGTTTGTCAGATCCCCAAGAGAAAGGTTTTCTTGAATATTAACGTTTTTGAGATGCTGCCTCTTGTAGATTTTTCCCATTCACTTACTAGTACCTTTTTTTTAATAGGGAGCAAATTTCAGACATTTACCTGGTGTTCGTGTTCGTCCTGATAATAAAGTTGAGTGGGATCCTGATGTTACGAGAATGTATTTGGATTCTGGAAAGCCTTTGGTAAGACGTTTTTTTTTGTCTCATAAGTGTTTAACATTATATATTAGGCAAACTATACAAGTAGTATTTATTTAAAAATATGTATATTATTAAATGTAAAACTTTAAGGTTTCTTTCATTAATTTAAACAATTTTACGAGTTTCTTGTAGTGGTATATTGTAACCTTTTTTTTTTTTTCTGAAATATCTATTGACATCTCATTATCTGAGGAGATATTTTTAAATTTGAGTTATGGGCAGGCATATATTTTTGTCACTTTGTGAGAAAATTTGTGAGAGAATTTGGTGGGAGAGAAATAATGTGAGAGAATTTGGTGGGAGAGAAATAATATAATCTACAAAGGCCAATTTGAGTGTAGTTAGATTGGTTAAGACATATTTCATTGGCTAAAAAGTAAGAGTTTCAAATAAATAAAAAGAAAGAATCTTTAGGGGTGGGGAGAATTAGAGAGTATGTTTGGAAGCTGAATAGTTTTAATACTTTACCATCGGATTAATTTATAAGGTTTTTTTGTAATTGTATGTTACTCTTTTAGATTAGAGCCCCTTCTTCTAGGGAATGTCTTTTTGTTGTGTTGTTTTTTTTTAATTATATAAAATATGTATCTTTTTTCTCTCGCACAAGATCTCTATTTTCTCCATCTATATCCATTTCAGTTAGAAATTTGGCTAGAAAGTTCTTGGAGTAACATATTTGCTCTCTTGTATCTTATGTTATTGCAATTGGCAGGTCCCTGATTATGCCATGAGTTTTGTAAACGGAACATCATCAAAGTAAGCTATAACGTTTTATTCAATACCTCTTTTATTTTCATTCTAACATCCAATCCTCTACTTATATTTCTTTTTATTTTATTTTTATTTTTTTTAAGAAACTAAACTTGCATTATCAAGCAAGTGGAAAAACAAAATGGGGAGATGAGATATCTCACAAGTCAAAGAATTAAAAAAGCCTTCCCAATTGGCAAAGATTTGAGAGACACCGTAATTACAAAAAGTTTTGTTACTAGAGGCCCACGAGGACATAAAAATTCTAACGTTATACCAGAAGATTCTTCTTTCTGGCTCTTGAACCAAGAAACTCCTTTTGTTTTGCTCAAACCATAATCTCCAAACCAAACTAGCTATATCCCAAATGACTACTGAAGATTCGCTTGCTCTTTGAAATAAGTTCCTTTGAAAAGCTGAAGGAGGGCATTAGCGGCATTATTAGGGAAGCACCAACTCATGCTGAAAATTTTGAAAAGATCCTTCCAGCAAGCTGAAGCAAAAGGGCAGTCGAAAAACAAGTGCCACTGGTCTTCTACACTATTCTTACACAGCACACACCAATTAGGGGATAGGTACACATTTTACAACATCTTTCGAAGTCTGCAACAGGTTTTTAATCTCTCATGCATCAACATTCATAGACATAGTTTAACCTCTACTTATATTTCCAATTTTTGTGAAATGATAAAGGCCATTTGCCCGCTTATGGTGGGACGAGACAGTGCCTACAGTTGTTACTCGAGCAGAGCCTCACAATCAGGTTATAACTCGATTTCTGTGCTCTTTTAATGCTTCTGCATAGGAAAAGAAATACATGATACTAAATTGTAATAGCCTTCAACCAACTCATTTTCCCTATGTCCACCGATACTTGTAGGCAATTACGCATCCGGTGCAAGACAGAGTACTAACAATCCGTGAAAATGCAAGACTTCAAGGCTTTCCAGATTATTACAAACTCCACGGGCCTGTGAAAGAGAGGTACATTTAATAGTTGACATTTGAGGAATCACTTAATTCTACCATTTGAAACATCATATGAATTGCTATTCTATTGCAAGTAAACGGGAAAATTTCCTGTACTATGGGAGTATGAATTTTTTTTCATACTACCGTTTATTGTTTGCCAATTCAGAAGCATTTAAAATATAGTGTGAACACATGGAATAAAATAATACATCATTCAATGGTTAAAAGAAGAGTTTGTACTCCTGTGGTATTGGTAAACTCCCAAGTAAAGTGATTATTCTTCCTTTCCTAAGAAAATGTTCAACTCTGCTTCTATAACTTGTTTTGTGTCACTCAAAAAAAGCGAACTTTTCTGTGGATCCCACTCTGTAAAAATATTCATCCTTTTGTTCCAGCAGGGGATTCTATAACTAATATATTGCATTCGTTTGAATATTAATGATCAAAGTACTTTCTAAGACATCAACAATATGAAAATTGGTCACCGTTCAGGGATAAGAGTTGGTTTTTGTGACAAGCAGATTTCTTTGCTGCACTTTGTGGTTTGTGGTTTGAAAGGAACAATATGATTTTTAGAGTGGTAGAGAGATCGAGGGAGGAGGTGTGACATTTTTCAGTTCCATGTCTCTCTTTGGACTACGATGTCCAAAGTTTTTTTGTAATTACTCTTTAGGCTTGATCTTGTTTGATTTGAGTCCGTTCTTTCATTTTGACTCCTTTTGTCGGGTTGGTCTTTTGTATTATTTCATTTTTCTCAATGAAGGTTTAGTTTTTTATTAAAGAAAAATAATGGTCACTTAACAGGTACATACAAGTAGGAAATGCAGTTGCAGTACCAGTCGCTCGAGCATTAGGATATTCTTTGGCCATGGCGTTTCAAGGTTCCGCTGCAGACAAGCCTCTGTTCAGTCTCCCCAAAAAATTTCCCAACATACTCGAACGGGATTCTTCAGCATCATCTGAAGAAGTTGCTTGAAGAGGTAATTCTTCCAAGATATCATATATAACAAAATATGTTGTATGCTAATTTACCTGTTGGATTATTCAACCTGATGATCTCATTATTGTATTGTGAAACTGTACAATGAGAGGTAATCTTCATATTTATATCACAGCCAATTCCATGGCAGTGACATTAACTTTAACATATTCAGTGCCTATTTTGTCCTGAATTAGTTGTCTGAAATAAACTAGCCTACTTGATTTTAGAAATATATTCTCAACCACAGCTATAATGTCTGCTTATTTTCAAATTTGTGTCATCATTTTAATTTCTCCTATTATTATTATCTGTTGATATTTGGATATTACATTCATAAAATTAGAATACTGTAATTTATAGCATCTAGTATTGCTATAAGGTTTTAGATGTTGATGACGTTGAAAAGGTAGAGGTTTTATATTTATAGAGATGTTGATGGGGATATCAACAGAATATCAAGATGTTCCTAGAAAAATAAAAAAAATAAAAGAATTCTTAAAATATATTTAAATGAACCAATACACCTTTTGTCTTTTTTTTTTTAATATAAAATTTATAATCTTATAATTAATGTTTGACCATATTAGTGATGTTTTCTTGATATATTTTTATATCTTGTCAATTTTTTATGAAATGTTGATGCACGATTTGTGTCAATGTTAAACTCATAAACATGTCGATCGAAATGTAATATGGACCTGTTGCGGAAAAAATGAATACTTTGAGGACAAACTCGTTAGCCTTGGCTTTAAGATATAAATCTCTCTTGGATTCAAGTCTAAGAGATAAATGCATAACAGCCAACTTCCAGAAGGGATGTAAGAATATTGTTCCTTGAAGAAATTGTTAACATTTTATCAACACAAGTTTTCTCCTAAGAACCTCTAAGAATTAAACTAATTTTAATACAAAGGTTGGGAGAAAAATGTACATGTGATTAAATAGATTATACATCAAATAAGATGAATTTATGGTTTAAAATCATTTTTGGTCGATGTAAGTAATAATTTAACCTTTAAATTTGTAATGATTTTTTTTTTTTTGAATTTGTAACCGAGGGATTAGATATATTTATAAGTTTATGGCTTAAATAATTGCAAAATAAAATTTAGTTTTATTAGATTTTGACGATAAAGAACTAAATTATTATATATTTTTAACTAAGTTATAATTTTAACAAAAGTTTTATATATAAAAGAAATATTTTAATATGAATTTGTGGTTACATTTAAAAAATTTTAGTCAATTTTTGTGTTAAAATTCTAATTGAAATAAATGGAATATAAATAAGAATGATGTGACTAAAATGTTATTTTAAAAGTATCCTGACCAAAATAAACCAAAGCAGAAATTCTCAGACATAACCATCGCTTTAATCAATAATGGTAATTGGATAAAAATATGAAAATATGGTTAACTTAAAAGCTACTTGTATATGTTGTTGACTTGTTGTAAGCTAAGGCTCCATTTTTTAAACTGTTAGAGAGAGAAAGAAAGATCTAGAGAGAGAGAGAGTTGGTGCAATTATTTGCTGTGATGAGGAATCTAGAGAGAGAGAGAGAGAGAGTGAGAGTCAATTATTTTCTCCAAAGTAAAGTCCACGATATAAGCCAAAAACTTGCAAATCATTTTGTAATTTCCTCACACTTCACACTTTGACACTTCTTTTTTTTTCTCCCAAAAGTTTCCATTTTTTGTTGTCATGGCTGCACCCACCAGGTCAGGAGGCTCAGAGCAATGGCTTCTGGCCACTGTTGCCCTCATAACATTTGGGTTCTTGGCCTATGCCATTTACGACGCTGCCGTCGCCTCGGTGGCCGAGTTGTTTCAGAGGATCGTCGTGGTTTCGCCACTGCTTTTGGTGGTTGCCGTTCACTGGCTGTCCATCGGCGGTGGCAGCAGCGGCTGTGGCACTCAGGCGGCTGTGGGGTTTCCTTGGGGAGTTGGTTTGCTTCTGCTTCTCATTCTGTTTCCTTGGAGTGCTGCTCTTCTTCTGCTTCTTCTTTACTTCTTTTTCCTCACTAACTGATCAACTTCTTCGATTCCGTGTACATTTCTCGCGTCACGCGTCACCTTTCTCGTTCGGGTGATTTTGTATTGAACGTGGCTGCTACAATACAATGTGGTTGCTCTCTAATAATTGTTCTATATACCCCAAATAACCGTTGGATACAGATTTGGAATACCTCTTGTAATTTCCCTTTCAACGGTGTAAAACTACCTATTAGGGTGATTTCTGTGCTTAGAAATGAGGTGAAGTTTCTTGGGTAGAGAAGCATATTTAGTGTAGATTGTAATGGTACCATTTGTAAATTTCTAATGGAAGAATCTTTAACAAATACTACTCAAATCCCATCTCTTTGATTAAGTGCATGTCTATATTTAGAATTAGAAACTCTTAAAAGGGAGTAGTTAGGTATTCGGTTTCTCTAAGTTTGAGTCTCTGCTTTATAATGGATTATATCTTTTAAAAATTAAAAAGCATCTATATATTATTAATATCACAATGCAAGTACTTCACATTCTTATTTAAAATATTGTATTTTGTGACGATACGAACATAGCTCAGTAGTTACTTACACCTACTTCTGAGTTTAGAAGTTTAAAACTATACCCTCCATTTGTTGCACTAAAAAAGATGGTATTTTGTGTGATTTCTAAAGATTAAAAAATATATTTGGTTCGTTGTATCGAAGTAACAATTTGAAAATTTTATATACAAATAAAAACCTTTTAATATAAATTTATAGTTCATGTAGTTTGGTGATGAAATACATGAATCAAGATGAATTAAAGTTGAAAGTATGGTGACTAAAATAATATTGAAACCAATAATATATAATTCAAAAGTGAAAAGTAATGATTTGTTATTGAATTTTAGTATGTAATAGTTTAATCATTGTCTAAAATTTATAATGATTTGTGTCCGAGGGATAGTTTGAGTGGCTTTCAGATCTTGAGTTCAAGTCACATGAAGTGCAACTCCACCAAACAATGATCCCTTATGTAATTAGTATTTAATTTTTAATTTAAAAATAATTAAAGTTGATTGCTAAATAGGTAATTTTTCCCACGATCCTCGTCCCCAAATGAGGGAGGACTCATGGAGCTTGACCTTAATTATATTCCTTGAATTAGTAAACGAGGGACATAGATTTTTCTCTCTAACATATCTTTGTAACTTAGAAAAAAAATAATTCTAAAAAATATAAAACAGTTATAGACTATGACTTTTGTTTTTTTTTAAAAAGAAAAATAAAAACATAAAAGCATAAATTATTATCGAATGAGACCTAAATTACCCGACAAGAAATGTGTTTTTAACTTTTTTTTTTCTTGAATCATAACGAGAATGGAGTACATTAGTTTGTGTACGGATGTTCCTCTTACTTCATACTTTGCTCAACTTAAATTCACGTTTTTCAATAAACATGATTTATAAAATCTGCATCTCTCTCGTTACAATATTATGCCATTCATATGACACATTTTTCACATTAATTTTATTAATTTTTTTAATCTTTCACTAGAATGAGAAATATCTCACAATCATTTAGTTAAATCTTTAAAGTATCTATTTTGATCAATCGAATAATGCATGTCTTAACCAGTTGAATTATTATATAAAAATTAAATTATTAGAAATCGAACAGTACAAATTATAATTATACCTAGATTAAAATAGTAATCTAACCCACATGGTAACCATCCAACTTTAATTGCTGAAAAAATTGGTCCCAAAAATAACAAAAGCTTCCCCTTCACGAGCCTATTTAATTATTGCAATAATGCAAACCTAATATTTAACTCAATCATAACTCTTTGTGGGATCCCACGTGTCTTTCGGCCATTTTCCACCTCAAAAAATATTACTAACTTTATCTAAAACCTTATTGTAAGCATATAAATATTATGTTTTTGTTTAAAGTTGGTAGGCTCACCATGTAATAGTATACATATATATATTTCAACAAAATGGGAAAATTTTAAATTCAAATTTTCAAGAAAGTAATTGAGGCTTTGACTAGTTGAACAGTATTCATGTAAACTTATGATATATATTAAAAGATAGATTTGTATGTAATTTACCATGTATGTTTGTATGGTTGTTGGTTGTATTTATTTAATCATTGATTTTTATAGAGTTTCAATTATGTCCTTTGAATTTTCAATACATATTTTAATATATTCTGGTCGTTAACATTGTTACTGAATGTACTAATATGACATGCTAATTGATCTAATGATGGATGATTTTGACATATCATGGCATAAGAGAGTAAGCGAGCGGGATGATATAAAGGTGTGGGAGAAAGGAAAAAAAAGTGATAGGGTGAGACGGGCGAATTACATTTTAAGCTTGTTTTTTTGGTTGGTTTGCTCCTATTCTATTTAATTGACCTACTCCTTTGTGTGTCACATCACACCAAATCATAACCCAATCCAATTGACGTATAATAGTCGAAATTGAAATAAGAGATCATAGCTTAGTTTGAAACTTTGTTAAAGTTCAATGATTTAATAGATACAATTGTCACTGTTCGTCTTTCAATGACTATTTACTTCGAGAACTCGTCTTTCGCTGATACGAGGACGAGGACATACCAAGTACAACCCTTTTAATTTCTTTAAGATTTTGTAAAATGTACCTTACATATTCTTACATCTTTTAAAGAAAGAGAATGAAAATCATGTAAAAAATCAATGCCAAAATTTCAAGATTATCAGAGGCTTTATGTGCATTCATTAAACCCACATTCACAAAATTTGGTATCACACTTCAATCATTATTTGTTGAGAGAAATGAATATCACACCCAAATTAGATCTCTCTTTTGTTTGGGAAAAAGGGCATAAAAGTTTCACAAATAGCTTAAAGCATTAGAATAATCTTGATCTCTTTTGGCTTCTCACTCTCCTATTTTGGAACACTTTTAAGTTTTTCATATCCAATTATATCAAAAGTGCTACACATGTGATGCTTATATTCTAATAACGTTTAATTAAGTACATTTATCAATCATACCAAATTATGTTTGCTTTTGGAAAAAGGGTAATTAAGTGTGCTTATTACTCTTTTTAATCTTTAATCAATAAGACCCACTTAGAACTTGAAAAAAAGAAAAACTTTTGTCTTTCAATTTGATCTCCAAGTTATATTTTCTTTTCTCTCTCTTGAAAATTTGTTTTACTCCAAACTCCTACCTCTCCACATCTAAATTTAGTTGCAATGATATGCGATAGACTTTAGGTAGCATACATTCTAAATAGTATAGTTGGACTCATGCAAACCCACGACCTTTTGATCGATGATATATACGTAAATAAATTGAGCTAAGGTCAGGTTGGCAACGTTAATTCCAACCACTCATGGACAAATGCGACGTAGGCATTACGTTCAGCTATAGTGATATCCCCAACATACCAAAGCTAGCTATCACACCACCTTTCTTTTTGTTTATTTTTTCTCTTTGACGAATTTTGTTTTTGCGAGAAATTTTTTTAGAAAGATTCTCTGGTCAGCAACTAAACCTGTCTAAAAGAAGAAAAGATGCACGAGATAGTACTCTTTCTCTTATATACGCTATTTGAATTTCCCCTTTGATAATGTCTTGACGAAAGTCCAATTCTTATCAATAATATCATATCCAAAGCAACTTCATCGGTTTGATCAGGATTATTAGATATTTTTCATCGTTTTATACAAAAAGAACAATCACAAGAGGTTTTTTAGACCATAAATTTTTCTATTTTACAAAAGTCCAATAAATTTGAAATAAGCTCTCCAATAAACTTATATATCTAAAGTTAAAATAAATTTATTTAAGATCCACCATAATGTGGAAGTTGATGAATGAGCAATTATGATAAACAATATCCCAAGATGTATTCCACACATATATAATAGTAGACTTCTATTCCTTTAATCTACTTTCAATCATCACTCTCTCCCTACCCCCACTCTAAGTTTAGCCTTTATTTATCTATTTATATTATTATAGTTTTTTTAAAAAAAGAAAACGCCACACTTAGAATTTTCGGTAAAAATGACTTTTTAAAAGGGTACGATTAAGAAATAGTAGTCTCGGCTATGAAACTACAGAAATAACTTAATTAAAATTTGATTAATGTTTCTTACAATAAACTAGCGATCGCTCGCTATCTGGCTGGAAAAGATGGTCCGAAAGCTTCCTCTCTCCCAACAAGCAAGACGAGACCACCACTTTTCTCAGTAATGGACTTGTGAAAAGTATATAAACTAAAACCGACCATAATTTTAAGTAACTATAAGGGTAAAAGGGGCTATATTTGAAAATTTGAAAGGCTACTCATTACAAAATTTCTTTATAAAGGGAGGACCATCTTCTTCCTCTATAATTTGGAACCAATAATTAAACCTAATTATTAAAGAGCCATTGGTGACCTTTCATTTCTTTGTAGTTTGTACTTAATAAGTTTGCTTTAAAAATTTGAAAGTCTAGCCAAATATCTGAAAACATTTCATTATTTACAACTAATCCACTCCTTATTTAATTTTCTGATTCAGTGGAGCATATTTCTCTTGCCCATAAAGGGAAAAAAAAAAGAAGAAAAAAACTTCTTTTTTTAATTTCTTCACACTCCTACCATTTGGAAGTTGAAACTTAAATTTTTTTTTAGCTTTATATATTTATGTATGTGTATTGAGCTCAACATGGGTAGGTTTGTCCAACTGGAAGATTTCTTTAACTTTTGGTCAAAAATATATGTCTCAACCAGTTGAATTATGTTTAAAGACGGTTCTAAAAAATGATTAAAAATTCAACTAATAGATGTTTTATTTGTCACAGAGTCGAATTAGGTGAATAGGGGTAAAGAAAAGAAGTAGATTTTGGATATAATCCTGCAAATAATACATAACTTAACTAGTGGATGAAAACTTCTTAATATAACACAACATAACATATGAGGTATAAATTGCTGAAATGTTATAGAATAATACTGATGTGCTGATAGGTCAACACTTATCTCTTACTGTGAGAGATGACTTCTCTGTACTTTTAGAAAATAAAATAGTCTCAAATCTTAAGTGGCGGTGACACAGACGGGTCAAATGTTATATAGGTGTTTAATTTACGAGGAAACCACGACAAAAATGGGTACTACCATGATTGAAATTTAAAAGTGTTGATGAATTAAAGACTTTTCTATGCGAAGTTGTAGGATTCGAACATGTGAAGGCAAAGTCACGGGGATCTGTGTGGGGCCAACAAATACATATACCATTTTAAATGATACAAATAAGTTTTAATTTTATTTTTATGTGATACTTTTTTTTTCTTTAATTTCTTTCACTGTATACAAGTTTTAGATCCGCCACTTAACTTATAACTTCCTTTGTTGGAAGGAGGTATTTTTTTTTTTTTTGGAATTAGTAATGCGGGTGGAGCAAAATACAGAGTGGTGCGGTTTGAATTACTACTCAAGTGTTAAATAGTTAACATAAGCATAACTTAACGATAATTGACATGTTCTCCTCTCTTCGAGGTTGGATATTCGATTTTTCATATCCTCAAATTGTTGTACTAAAAAAGATGAGGTGTAAAATATAGTTCGTACTATTGTAAATTCTAGTATAGATTACATTCGACCTTATACATTTACCGTTTATTTTACAACGTATTAGTCTATAATAAATGAGGGGAAATGAAAAAAAATTGGAAGTAATAGACAGAAATACATTTTAAATCAATGATTTTTTGTATGTCGTTGTTTTATCTAGTTGATTTGTTAGTTTTTTTTAGATAAATCATCAATTTTTAGTCTAATAATGGTGATGAGAGATTTGAAGTTATTATAACCAAAATCAAAAGTTCAAAGACTTTATTGAAATGGTTTAAAAAAAGAAAAGAAGGCTATTGATTTTTCTTTTTAAAGTTTAGATTAGTAGGTAACATAATAAGATTATAATTTAACCAAAAAGAGAAAAACATATAATCTTTCTGAATATGAATATGAATGTACAGATGGGCCCAATGATTCGGCCCATGAAGCCCAAATGCTTGCTTTCCATTTTTTTTAAATAATCCAGAATTAAATTAGTAAAAAATAAAAGATTTAAATCTTACTTTATTTATTGAACTCTAATGATTATCCTATTTTAGTTTTCAAGTTTTTAAAATATATATTTTGATATTTAAATTTTTAAGTTTGTTCAATTTAGTCTCTAAATTTTAAAATATTAATATAGTAAGATTTTTCTAATCCTATTTTAGTCTTTAAACTTTTAAAATATATTTAAATTTTTAATTTTAATCTCATTTGTTTATTGAACTTTGATATTAATATAATTTTCAGGTTTTTTTTGAAAGGTTAATATGGCTAATGGTACTCCTTTGGTTTCTTATATTACTATTTCTTAAAATATGTTTTTTTTTGCATTGTATTAAGTGAAAATAATTTT